TGTAATATGCATACAACAAAAATTTTGTTTTACTTTAAAACCGAATGAACCCACTCTTTCGATCTTGGTCAGCTGGCAACAATATTACAAGTTACCTTAAATATAACAAAAATGCCCATTACTCTCAATTATATAACTTAACAACCCAAAATAATTCTTTCTAATAATATTAAATAAATACCATTGACCATTAACGACGATCCATATTTAACATAATTATCTTTATTTCCAATAAAACCACAACAATCTAACATAAAATATGTAGAAAAATATAACATAATATAATTATCCAATTCTTCATTTCTCAAGGGTCCACAGCTGACATCCAAAGGTCCACAGCTGACATCTAATTCAATATCTCTTAATCTCCAACTACAGGTTTTTCCGAACAATGAAATACACCCCGTGATCCTTATCTCCTCTTCTTCCCCCAAGGAAAACTTAATTTTCCTGTCAGAAAATAACTGACATTTGATGTATTATATTAAATTTATTTCTTCTTTTTTTCAACAGCTACAACAATTATGTTATATAAATTAATAAACAAAAATAATATAAATCTTTAGAAGAAATAATTATGCAAATATATTGAAGCCTTGAGTTATTTACATGGCAAGGATGCCATATTAGAAATGAATTTTGTAACTATAAGGACCAGAGTGATATGATGAAAGCAATTAAGATTTTATATATTATTGTCGCACCACATCTAGTTGGTATATTATATCTTAAAATAATAATAGTTCGTAATAATATCAAAAATATACTGTATTAACAATTTAACTTACAACTGTATTTTAAAGAATAAGAAAATAGCTTTCCTAAAAACAGGTAAAAAAGAGAAGAAAAGATATCTAATAAGATTGCATCCATTGTGGGATGAATTATAAGATGTTTAATTTAATAAAATTTTAAATAAATAGATCGTTAAAGAAATGAATGCTAATTGTTACTTATATTTATTAACAACAGCATTTATTTAGTAAATATTAACTGTTATATATATTCTATAACTGTCAAATACGTCTGTAAAAGTGGCATTTTACCTAATATTTGATAATCAATTTTATATAATAGAGGATTATTAACTATATGTCTACTTACTTTTTATAAATAAATCTCATATACTTATTTGGACCTTGAAAATATTTTTAGGTAGAGGCATGGTAATTAAATCTAAAAATGAATAATATAGTTGATTAGTGATTTTGAACTCGGCTAATTACATTATTAAATTTGTTAATTTTCAATTTATAAATAAATATATTTATTTTAAGATTATAAAATAATTTTAAATAATAATAATCAATTAAGCTTCAATTGTTAATGCTAAAATAATATTTAGACATTATGAGTGATCTTGATATTCCATTTTTAACACAGATTTATTGCAAGCTGACATAGTGAATATATTTATATGTATTTATAAATAGTCTTATTAATTTTTAAATAATAAAATCAAATCAATATATAATATTTAATAGAATTATAAAATAAATCGTTCAGGGCAGTGGCGTAGCTACGGGGGTGGTTTTCGGGTTTGGACCCCTCCCAGAGCAAAAATTTTTTTTAGATTATACGTTCAAAAGACTTAAAAGTGACTTTATATCAAATAAATACCATTAATATTTATATTTTCCTGATTTTGATTTTGTGGAAGGATATTATAATACTATAAAAATTATTCTGGATAATATTATTATAAAGTCATTGAGAATAATCTACTAAATTATAATAACGTATTATTGATGCATTTAAAAAAATATTTATTATATATTATAGAAGATATTTATGATTTGTAAGATAAACCTTGCCGAAGGCCGAGCAAAAGGGCCGAAGGCCCGTATAAGGTGGTTGCTTTTATGGTATGGACCCCCTCTAAGGAAAATTCCTAGCTACGCCACTGGTTCAGGGGGTCAATAAGTTTATTTTTAGTTCAGGGAGGTATTAGGGAGCCATTAAGAAAAATTTTTTCCGCTTCAGGGAGCTATTCAAATTTATCAGGGGGCTATAGCCCCTGCCCCCCCCCCTCTTGTGACGCTACTGCCAACATGTATGTTAATACCATCACAAATAATTAAATCTATGATTAAAAGTATCTTCACGACATGGAAAATGTTGTTTATAAATGCGGAATTTTTTTGTTTTTAAAAATTATTCCTTTTCACAAAGAACCAAATCGGAAAATGTTTATTATAATTTTTAAATCAAATCTATACTCATAAAGACAATTTTAAAAATTTAAATTTCTGTTTTCATGATTCAAGGGATATTAAAGTTAATCCTAATCACGTCAGGAAATATTTTTCATGCTCACTCACGCTGTTACCCACGTGACCTATCGTGTTAATTTCACGGACCACACCCACTTCTAATCTATATATGACTTGACAACTTATTTGTCATATCTAATATTTGATTTCTAAGTTTATCAAAAACCTTTTCCAAATTTTTAATTAGTTACATCTAAAATTTAGATGCAAGTTAAACTAATACACCCTGATAAAACTACAAAGCAACCTAAAATAAATTTATCACTGTAAATCTCTTATTCTTATAATTCACTGAAATTTTAACCAATTTATCGGTTATATTTACTCATATATCTTTCAAAACTGCAACATTCTTGTTTCTTTGTTTAAAAGATATTTGATTTTTGAAAAATATATCATGAATTAGTAATACATTCATCCATAACATGTTCCTTTTGAATTTAGAATGAAGATCGAAAAATCGGATTACAAGCCTCATTTTGGAAGTTTATTATAAAAGATGATAAATAGAGGCTATTCGAATATTATACATTTTATTATCTTTTGCAATAATTAGTAAAGAGAAGAATTAATCATCACATATTCATAAATCCAAATTTAATGAATTTTTAGTATATTTTGCTGACTTAGTGTTGTTAAAAAGACAGGTTAGGGTGGATTTTTCAAAACGGCTCGATTAAGATTTTAGTTTAAGTAATATTATTTAAGCATCGAGATTTGGCAAATAGATGTCCAAGCATTTCTGCCAGCTATGAGCAAAATCTTTAGGTTTACATAATGTTTATTTTGGTTATAATTTTAATCGGGCAGTTTTTTAAAATCGACCTGAATCGGGCTTTTATAACATTTTGATGTTTTTCTAAGGATTGAATTATTAGAACCGTTGTCAAATAAAGAAAGGTTAGAACTAAAATGATACTAAAGACTAATATCCTCGATATATACTTTTCTATAATATTCGTCAAATAAGAAAGGTTAGAACTAAAATGATACTAAATCTTTATTAAATAATAAGATAAAAACATAATCAAAATAAATTAATTTAAAATAAAATTAAAAATTAAAGATTAAAAAAATTAAGTTCGTAAAATCATAATCCTTTATTCAAAATTATAACATTATCAAATTAACAAAATTATAAAAGTAAAAATAATAAAAAAGATTAATAAAAAAAATAATAAAAAATAAAATACAAAAAAGTTAATAATTATAAAAGATTTCTTTGTATGGTAAAAATTGGCCTTTTTATACTTTTTTCAATCTTCTTTATAACTAATATTCATAACTATTCAAATATAATATTTTTATCATGCGTTATAATAATAAATCCAAAAGAATTCTTTATGCAAAATAAATATAAAGTACAAATTTAACTAATCTAAAATTTACAACATTTAACAACACTATACTAACTAAAAGAAATTATTCATCTTGTTCTGGTTTTAGAAATTATACAACTATTCCAAACATTTTATTATTATGGAAAAATATTTATATTTTATCTGTCAAACCATATAAAAAATATAATATTTATAAATAATAGGAGTTCTCTTTGTTTTTTAGTAAAATTGCAATTCATATTTTTTTGCACATCGAATCTATCATATTTTCAAGATTTTCATCAAAGGATGCGATTGAGCGGTTGATTTTTCCTGCTGTTAAACTGCCTTCAAAAAATTCTTTCCGAACTTTTATCATTCCCAACATATTTTTCCATTTTCGAATATTTGGCAAACCAGCAAAATAGAGAATTAGAAAATTCACATCCAATGTGCAACATGTTTTTCATATTTATTGAAAATTAATAATATATTTTCTTTTCTTTTCAAGTTCTATAAAATTGATTTTGGTTTTTCCTTTTCAATAATCAGATTCTTCACAAGAAATATTAAGCAAATGATATTATTACTAAATTTTTTTAAATAATATATTTGCAATTATTAGACATTAAATTAATTATTGCCTAAAAATAAAAATCTTTTCTTTCTCTTTTATTTATTAAAAATATAAGCATTTTTTTAAATTGCTTTCCGATCCCTTATTTTGTTCACAATACATCCGCATGATTTTCTCTTTATTTATTAAAATAGAAGCAATTTTATATTTATCCATATAAAGTTATTTTTTTAACGTAATAAAAAAATCATACAGAAACGAGCATGATTCTTTTAAAATATTTATTTTAAATAAATAAGCAATATTAAATTTGCTTCCAATAATAGCTAAACGTATAATATTAATTTTAACATTGTCAAAATAACATTCTTTTTTTTTAATGAAGTTAAATCATAATTTATTTTTTAATATAGCGTAAAGATTTTAATTATATTCAAGATTCTATGGAAGCTTCGTCGCTTGAAAATTTATTTTAATTTTATTCATTACAATTATCTTAATAAACTCTTCTTTTTTCATTAAAACATTAGGTTTGTTAAACCACTTTAATTTTATTTTTGTGGCCTTACCGTTACCAATGACAGACATTGTCTTACATGAGACTTTTCATAAAATTGTTTTCTAATTTAACTTTCTTATTTTTAATAACTTTTTGAAATACCATATCTAGATTAAAGGAAAACTAATAAAAAACGCAATTCTAATTTTCGATATAATAAAAGATAAAAATACTTAATTGGGCCTAGCCACATTTTTATTATATTAAATAAGATTGACCGATGTCACAGTTATCTGTTATTTCTTTATATTAAGCGGCAATATATACTTTTAAATTGTTTAAAATGCAAGGTGATTTTTTCTTTATGATCTTTTTATAGATTTTTTTAATAGCTCTTATTAGTGTTTATGACAAGACTGCCCTTGAGAGTTTATCTAGATCCCTGTTTTCAAATGGTTATGAGATTATAGCATCAGGAAAAACAGCATCATTTATATCATCATTGAATATACCTGTAAAAAATATATCCCTCTATACAGGATTTACAGAAATTTTAGGAGGGCGGGTTAAAACACTTCATCCTGCAATACATGCCGGTTTTGATTTTTTTATTTTTATGAAAAATGAAAATTATATCTTGAGAATAAGTTAGAATAATATTTAATTTATGCATTGCAATCAGAGAAATGTTGACTAATTTTTTTTTATAAAGGTTAATTTTTATTTTGGAATATTGGCCAGTATTGGTTAAAATATAAAGTATCAGCCAATATGATCAGCATTGACTTTACACCAATATCAAGTATCATTGTATAGATTACAATTCTTTAATTTCAGAACATTGACAAAATATTAATAAGTTTGCAATTAAATAGTTATTAATGATATGAAAAATTAATATTTGGCTCAAGCCTGTCAGTAGCTCAATTTTTTAGATCCAATCCTGTGGCCCAAGCCCGAATGTTTAAAAAAGATTATAGGGAAGAAATCTCAAACAAATTTTTTATTTTATTCTCTATTTAAAAATATTCAACAATAGATATGATAATTATCTAATTTCTATTTATTGTATTATAAGACAATTAATAATATATAATTCCCACCTTAAATATATTTCATAATTGTGATTTTCAATCTGACAAAAAAGGAAGAATAGGAGAGAACTTTGAGCTACAGACTGGACCTTTATTGACAATGTTGTCACAACCTGGGTTGGCAAACCTGGTGTATTTTAATATTCATTCTATTTTTACATTTATCCATTTTTCTTTAAAATATTCAAAATAAATATTTTATACACTCTTAAGAATAACTTTATATAATTTTTGAATAAAAAATGATTTTTGGATATTAAATTTAAAACTTTAATAAAAAATGACAAAATAGAAAGTTTTTATAGAAAAGGAGTAAAATAAAGCAATATCAGAAATAGATGGACCAGATGGCTTAGGGTTCTATGAGACTTGATCAAAGATAAGATGTTGCCCCCTAAAACTTCATTTGATTGTGGGATGACTGACTTTAGCTTAAGGCCTGTTGCCAGAATTTATTAAGGTTTTTAATCATTTATATATCATTCCAAATCAAATTTAGCAAAGTTTATTATAAAATCTAATAATCAATTAAATGTAAAAAATATTCATATTCCATTAATGTTAGGAATAAAAACGTTAAATTTTATTTTTCTCCTAAAAGAAAATTTATTTTTGAATAACTTGAACCCAAATATAAATAATGAATAAGTTAAATAATTTCATATATAAAATTACTATAAATATACTTGTTATTAGGGATGTGGCAATATTAAATATTAGATCCTGGCCAATATAAATCCTTTAAAAAAAAATTGAATTGGGCTAATATTAAAAAAAAATTATCCAATATTTTTATTGTATAATTATATAATATTTTTTATTTTATACATAATTCCCTAATAAATTACAGAATAAAAGGGACCAAAGTTGTATTTTTAAAGTTAAAAAAAATCAAATGTTAAAGAATAGTTAATAATGTGATATTATTAGACATGTGCTCCAACAGCATTTTTGGCGGCGGCGTTTCTTTTTTAAAAATGATTGGCCGGCGAATCGATTTAGATGCCGCCACAAAAATCGGCAGCTACAAATATTTTTCTAACTTAATTTTTTTTAAATTAAATTTATAAATTCATTGGAAACACTTTTAAAATAAAATTTATACTTTATTATGTTTATAACTATAATTTAATGATTTTATTAATTTATAATTATCATGAATAAATATTATTTTATTTAGATTTAAAGGACATAATAATGATTTTTTAGAGTTCAGAGTGAGCCCAGCTATAGAAAATACACGCTCGCTGGGTGTGATCGTAGCTGGAACGCACAGGACCTTTCTAGCTAATATTAAAAATTTAGGAATATCCAATGCTCTTATCTTCCAAAAATCTAAGACATCTTTTATCTCCAAATTATAAGGCGAAAATAATGAATAACACTCTTTTTCTAAACTGGTTAAATAGTCTTGTTGTTACAGGTTATTGTTATGAATAGATGAATGTTTTGTAGCCAATGGCTTAAGATAATCGAGTTTTGAAGCAACTTCCGTTGTTTCACATTCGTTTGATTCGTCCGTGTATGGCCGTATAGAGGTAGCGTGTTGACATAAAAATTGAACCGGAGTAATATTTTTTTCCTTTAAATATTCATTTACTATGTTTATAGATTGAAAACGAGGATCCAAAAGTGCTCCTAACCCCTAAGTAAAAAAATAAAAGAAAGAGAAATAATATATAAAAAATAATTTATGTATTTTAAAATACTACCTAAAGATTGGTTATTGAAAATCTATTATCAAATTTAGTAAGCATATTTTGTTTAAGGGATTCTATGGGAGGACTATCATATTCTTTTACAATTAAATGATTGTTAATTTCACTACGAAATAATAAGGCTAAATTTATAGTAACTCCTTTTTGGACAGAAAATTTTTTTTGAAGGTTTTAAGAAATTAAAAGTTTATGCACCAAATCCCAATCGGAGCTAAATAATTTGAGATCCGGTTTCTCCATTCTATTTTATAGAATATTTAAAGGATTTTTGTTATTGCTAGTCACACTTTTCAGCATTATTAAAATACTATGCCAACGTGTAGGCATATTTAATTTTAAGGTTTTATGTTTTTTCTCATATGATTTTTGATTTTCACTATCTTCATCAAACCCCAAACGATCTTCATTAAAAGGATCATTATCATCCAAATCTAAAATATCCGATGTATATGATATCGATTCAAAACATTTTCTATATGTTTATATTTTCAAAATCCGCTGTTTTGAATCGGCAACTATAATTTCTCTCACTTTTTTAATGAGATTTTCTATTTTATTAACTTTTTTATTCAATCGACTCACTAGATTATGTAATCCATGCCCCAAACATAATAGACGAACACTTTTCTTTACATTGGGTCCTGCATCCGTAACCATTTGAATTTTCTTGGACCCTAAATCAAATTCATTTTCAACTTCTATCTCGGAAAGAATAGTTTCAGCGGTATGTTTTTGAGTGACATGATGTGTCGCCAATGTATAAAATACAATATTAAAATTATTATCTATTTCGTGAAATGTAAAGGTAATATAATTTCGCCGTCTATATTTGTCTGTCCACATATCAAAATTTAGGACCTATATTAATTTGTTGGCATATGTATGCTTTCATTGATAAATACACATCATCTAATCCACTCCGGCTAAGTGTAGTTGTATCTGGTAATTCTTTGGTATCTGAAATAATGCCATTGTTCTACATAATAAAAAGTTAATAATAAAAATATTATGCCATAAAAAATTCTAAATATGAGATGTTATAAATAATTAAATATCTTAACAGTTAAAATAAAAATTAAGATTCCCCTATAAAAAATTATAATAATTTTACAAATAACCTTTAGAAAATCTTGCATTCCAGTATTATTTATAGAAGAGAATGGCATTAAATCCTTGCAACACATGAGTACATAATTCCTTACCAGAATCCATTTTTTATCTTTTATAGGGTCAGTTGTATCTTTTACAATGGGTTTAGAAATAACTTTAAATTTTGTTTAGATATTTCTTCTTTACATGATAAATCATGTTTGTCAAGTAAATGTTTTATTATGTTTGATATGCTGATATTTTTTGAAAAAGATTTGATTGGATAACTAATTAAAAAATTTACAAATATTTTTAAAATAATCTAAAAATTTACTCTGAAAATGAATAATTATTTTTATTCTCACCATCTTTATCAAGTGCTATTTGCAAGCATATATTACTAAAGACTTTATCTGTAGCAACACTGGTTCTCTTATTATTTATGCCAGTTTTTAATATTAAGGATCCAAATTGTTTCCATGCAAAAGAAGGCTACAAAGTATTACAATGCTGCATTCATTATAATTGTTTTAGTCCTGCTATTTTTATATATATGTTATAATGGAAACAAAATAAAAATCATTATTTAAATTTCCTATTATGATAAAAAATAAATTTTATATAACGAAGTTGTAGATTTTTTGAAGCATCAAAAATTAAAAGAATAAAATATAGAATAATATAAATACCTTTTCTAATTTAATGTCCTAATCTTATTTTATCTAGCACGTTGGTCACAGACATGCCCAAAATGAGAGAATATGGATTGTTACAAATCAAACTTATAGCAAATAATATTTATTAATTTTAAAAAATAAAATCGCATTTTTTAATAATTCAAAAAATATTTAATATTTTTCTTCTAATTACAATTCATAAATAATATATAAAATAAATATTATTTGTAATAATAAAAAATATGTATCATGCTGCCACGTCGCCGAATTTTTACATCGGCGGCGGTGTTTGGCGTCGGTTTGGTCAAAAATCACCGGCGGCTGCGCATTTGACCGGCGGCGCACATGTCTAGATATTATTTATTTTTTTTATTTGCAACAAGAAAAGGATTTTAAAATATTTAACAAATTACATTCAGCCATATACTTTACCCATATTTTAAATGACATGATTTACCTTTATTGAATAAAAAAGATAAAATATATTTAATCATTAATGAATATCCATTAAATATTACCTTCTCTATGAATATGAAATACGGAAAATTTCAAAGCGTTCCTTATTTTGAACAGTTTACGATTCGTTATTTTTTTGTATTGTAAATATTTATTTTTTTATGACATTTGTTCAAAGATTAGCAGAGACCTGCAGAGGTACCATTTGCACGGTCCGGCCTGGATATTTTAAAATAAAAGATTTTTGGCCCCGGCCCGGATTAGACGAGGCTAGGAATTTTTTAAAATTATATTCGACCTGGTATATACAAAAAATTTACCTATTTGGTATTTTATCATATTTTTAAGCAAGCATATTAGCTAATGTTGTTAAACGGCTCGTTTTGAGCCGATTTTTTAAAACGGCTAACTCAATTTTTCGCCAGAAAAATATTGACTAAGCCTCGAAATTTCGATAATATATGTTTAGACCTTTGCTCCTTCTATAAACAGAATTTTCAGGCTTGCATAGTATTTTTCTGGATAAAATACTGTGTTAGCCGTTTTTAAAAATCGGCTTAAAACGAGAAGTTTAACGTACATATTTTATTTTTTTATATTCTAAACAGATATTTAGTATGTTACAAATTGATACTATAAAAAATTTGTATAAATAATATTGAATATACTATATTAATTGTATTTATAAAAAAAATAAAACTATATTTTAATAAATAAAAAATATACATATATTATATAATAATGTATTTATTACCTATTATCCTTTGCGTTTATTCCATGGCAGGAAAACTATTATATTATGTAATAGATACTATGAGTGTTAGCTAGTGTTAACTTTCACCCAACATTATATTAATCATAACTATATATAATCATTATAACCATATCTAATCATTATAACCATATCTAATTGACGAATATAATAATTCATGTTAAATAAATTTCTTAAAAAAATTTTACAGCCCGGGTATTTTAAAAAAAAATTTTCAGGCATGGCCCATGTATATTTTCCCGGGCCGGGCTTGGGCCGGGCCTGCAGGTCTCTGAAGATTAGTAACTAAGAATCAATCAAATGTCATTTAGAAAAAACCAAAGTATTTTTCCGGTTCCTGGAGTTAAACCAATTAATTTTGATAGGGGGAGGCATAATCATTTCTCTGCTACCGCACAGCATATAGCCAGAAATCCCGGATAAAAGCCTGTGAAACAAATCAACACAAAAAATATGGAAAAAGACATAGGAGAAAAGACAGTGGGGAATAAATAGAAGAAGCGACGGAAAATTTTTTACAGGAATAAAAGGCTTCGAAAAATAAATCTATATATATTAAAATAAAACTGCTAAGAGTAATATTTATGGTCAAGAATTATAGCTTATATTTTTAATTGTACATATTTTATGTTTATTTATTTGACATCATTACGATTAGACTCAAAGCGGCCCGTCAAGAATTTTAAAGTGGTGGTCAGGTCATAACAGGGGTTTGCTCGGTGCGTAAAAAAATTGCATAAACTTTCTGGCCCGGTATGTGATAAATATTTGTGAGAGAAAAATCATAAGAAAATATTTTGCACAAGTTGTCTGGCTTGTTTTTAGCCTGATCTGCTACGCGGATCAAGACATGCAGATCTGTAATGTATATTTCCTCCACCGAAATAACATTAGTCGAAATTAGTTAAAATTCCCCTTTAAAAAAAATATTATTCCTTATATCTTCCGAATTGAGGTTTGAAAACCTTTTTCTAAAGTTTTTTTATATTCACTGTAGGCAATGGTTGATCGAACACGATTTTTGTGATTAGGGGAGAATAGATCATATTGCTCGGATTTTGCATTTTTGCGATATTTATTTTTAATTTCAGTTTAAATAATACGATTATTTATTTTTTTATTTTAAAAATATAAATTAAACGCATTTTTACAAAGTGAATTAAAGAAAAAATCACAAATTGCTTTGCCCTAATTCTAAATAATTTTATCTTAGGAAAAAAAAGGGATAACATCATTTAGTTTAATTTTTAAATTTTTTAATGGCCTGGTTAGTCTATCCGGTCCAATTTGTTAAATTTATAAGTCCTAAACCAGGCTCTAGCGAGGCGACTTTCTACCCCTCCCCTTCTAAACCTTACTGACGTATTAGATATATACATGCATAATTAAAATAAGATTATTCTTGATCTTAAATATTACTTTTAGTAGTTTTATTTTTATATAAACAATTTATTTTCTGATATTCCTGCACAATTTTTATCCTCAGTTTTTTGGATGAGTTTTTTTTCTCATTATCGGTTACTCCACCCTTGAAAATAAAATTACAAACAATTATAAAATTAATCGAAATATAATTATGGTGACAATTGTTAAATTCATATTTTTTATTTTAAAAAAAATTCACAAAATTGTTGATCCATATTTTTTTTAATCATAAAATCATTAAAAATGATTAAATAAAAATATAATTTTAATTTGAGACACTAAAATACCATGTCAAAAATTATTGCATAAAAATTTACATATTATTCTATCAACTTTAGGCATCCTTGCAAGAGACAACGAAATGGATCAAAAAGAACTCGACAAATTGAATTACCATAAGATTGAGTTAATATTATATATGCTGTATAAATATTGTTCCCAATTCCCATCAATAATGTCTTGAGTGTTGTTAAATCGCCTAATTTTACTCCAAAACGGGTTAACCAAGTTTATATCTTAATTTATTTTTCTCAATTTTCAAGTAGAAGTTCAACTTTAAAGTTCAAACCAATTTTTTTAGGCGAATAATATGGTTGAGCCGTTTTGAAGTCGGCCAAAGATAGTTAATTGAACAAGACACTATCTTGCCCAAACTCAATTAGATATTAATTAAAGTATTAAAAAATTCTTGGTGATACTTATTCATTTTTTTCTATATATTCCTCAACTTTCCACGATCAATAAATTTTGAGTCATTATAAATATGAAATATTTAACAAATTACATTATGTTTCATATTTAGTTTTTTGGAAAGTTCCAAATATCCGTTCTCGTTCCATAATTGTTCATAAAGTTCTTTTTCATATTCCTGATTAAATATAATTTATCGATATCAATCATTTTAATATCGGCTGGTCAAATTTTAATGTTCCATATTCATTTTTTTCAATTGTTTAGAAAAGCTTTTTTTAAATTTAAATGGTAGAAATTTTTTTTTATCTGATAGATGGAATGATATTTAAGCAACTTATCATCGCTTACCCTAAAATAATATTCCCCGAAAACTCATTTTTATACCTTTGAAAAGAAGTGCATGGGAATGGAATAAACAATAAATTAATTTAATTTCAATATGTAAATATTCCATATCCAGAAATAGAGGCCGCATTTTATTTACAGATAAAAAATAAAGGGTATGGAACATTTTAATTATTAAAAATTTACAAAATAAAAGAATAATGTTTGATTTTTGAAATAGCCTCATACTAATCACAAGATTAGATATTTATAATTTGGATACAAGGATTTAAAACTTTATAATATTAATAAAAAAAAGATTCTTATTCTTTGACATTTTTATTATTGATTTTTTTATATTTTGCCTAAAATTGGATATAGAACATTAAAATACTTACCTACTGTGTATAAGATTTAATTTGTAATAAGTTAAATATATAGTGACAAATCAACATGAGTTTTAACCCGACTCCTTCAAATTTTTACTAGAATTTGCATATATTACAACCAGGGTTGCCAGATCTTCCGCTTTTGGCGTAATTTCCCGATTTTTCACTTTAGTTTATGCCAAAATAAGCGTCTATTGATTTACGCGTTCTCTCGATTTTCCTAAAATAATTATCCCGATTTTTTTTATAAATTTTTCAAAATGTAAAATAATTAAAAATAGCTTCCAGAAATTTACGCTATCAATTTTAATTCAATCATTCATTTATTTTTTATCCATATGAGAAAGGAAAAAACAAAGAATTCTAATCTCCAATTCCAATTTAAGATATAATATTAATATTAATATCTTAATTTTAAAAATAAATTTTTATGATAAATCATATAACAATTACTTCTTCTGATTCTGATGATATAAATAATTCTTATGTAAATGTGAAGTAATATATATAATTTTTAGAAATCAATCTATATAAAAAGATATTTAAGAGGTAGGCAATTTATTATTTACAATTTTAACAGTTTTATATGGCCTAATTATAATTTTTGATTAATTAAATAAAGTTTTCTTATGATATTTCATTTATTTTCCAATTTTGTTCCATTCATTTAAAAAATATATAAATTACAATTTAGGAAAGTTTAACCCAATAAAATGTAAATTGCAATATCAAAATAACTGGAATTCATTTAATCATGTGTCAGAGTAGATAAAAAATTAAGGTTGTAAGACAAAATTTCATAAAATGTGATGATCATGATAAAATCGCAACATTTGAAAATGAAGCTAATAAATTGATTAAAACACTCATTTCGTATTTAGAAAAAAAAATGAATTTACAAATAATAAATGGGAAATCTAAGTATTATGAAGCTGGAATTTTAATATAAAAGATATCGAATTAGATGAATTATTTCAGGAATTCGTTGCTTTAAATACATTTATAGAACAAAATAATAATATATCGAATTTGGCTCATGAACATTGCGCCAAATTTTGAAAAAATATGCAATATTATATTCTCGTTATCACATTCAACCGCTGATTCAGAGCGCATATTTAGGTATGATTTTTGGCGAAAAAATCGTAATCTGTTGTCTTTATCAGCTTTAGAAGTGGAATTAATGATCAAACATGATTTTAATTATATACTTATATAGATTTTAAAGAATATGTAGCAAAAAATAAAATTTAATTAATAACAAAATCTAGTGTTGTTAAAAAGTCGAGTTCTTACGACTTGCGACTCGAGTCGTAGTCGTAAAAAACGGCTCCGGCTCAAGCCGATCAAGGAGCCGCATGAGTCGGCTCACTTAGTCGGCTCGCTTAGTGGGCTCAGAGGGTAGCTTGAGTTTATTTTAAATTTAGAGCCAAAAATTATTTTTATGTTATTGAGAAATTTTAAATAATGTAGAATTTTATTTATTTATTTTTAGTAAAATAATTTATTTTATTTATATTTTATTTAATTGCAAATAATATGTTTTGATTTGATTATAATAAAAATGGATTTATTTATTTGATTTTTTTTTAAATAAAAAAAAATTAATATTTTTGAGCTAAAAATTTTAAGCATGCTGATTTTTTAAAGAAATTTTATTTTTTTGTTTTATCATAAAATTTTATTCTTTTTTTAATTATATCATAAGTAAATAATCTTTTAGGTCAAATCTTCTATAGTTTTTTTTATATTATTTTTATAAATATATCTATATTTTAAGTTTATTATTAGAGGTGGCTTTTTTTAAATATTTTTTTAATAAATATATTTATATTTTAAGAATATTAAAAGAGGTGGTTTTTCTTTTTCTAAATAATTTTTTTTTTAAAAAATATATCTATATTTTAAGTATATTAAAAGAGGTGGTTTTTCTAAATTATTTTTTTATTAATATTTATGTCAAACTTTTTTTTAATGCGACAATTGTCATATGCGTTATTTTTTAAGATTTTTGAAATTTTTGGACACAAAAGGGTTATAATATAATTTATATTGTAAAGATATTATATTATAAATTCAATGAAGATGTTCCCTGGAAAAATTTAATTATCATAATAGGTAGGTATATTTTTGAACATATAAGATTTTTTTGTGACGCTAATGGGCAAAAATATGTTTCTTTAACAGGTAAGATTTAATGTAGATGTACCCTAGATAAATGACAATTGTCATAATAGTTATTTTTAAAGTTTTTTAAATTTTTTTGACGTAAATAAACATGTCTAAATAAAACTTCAGTGAAGATGTACCCTAGAAAAGTAACAATTGTCATAATCGTTGTTTTTAAAGTTTTTCCAATTTTTTTGACATAAATGGGCTAAAATAAGCATTGCTAACATGTTAAAATAAAATTTAAGTGAAGATGTACCTTAGATAAGTGATAATTGTCATAATCGTTGTTTTTAAAGTTTTTCGATTTTTTTTGACTAAATGGGCTAAAATAAGCATTGCTAACATGTTAAAATAAAATTTAAGTGAAGATGTACCCTAGATAAGTGACAATTGTCATAATCGTTGTTTTTAAAGTTTTTCGAATTTTTTTGACATAAATGGGCTAAAATAAGCATTGCTAACATGTTTAAATAAAATTTAAGTGAAGATGTACCCTAGATAAGTGACAATTGTCATAATCGTTGTTTTTATAGTTTTTCGAATTTTTTTGACGTAAATGGGCTAAAATAAGCATTGCTAACATGTTTAAATAAAATTTTAGTGAAGATGTACGATAGATAAGTGACAATTGTCATAATCGTTGTTTTTAAAGTTTTTCGAATTTTTTTGACGTAAATGGGCTAAAATAAGCATTGCTAACATGTTTAAATAAAATTTTAGTGAAGATGTACGATAGATAAGTGACAATTGTCATAATCGTTGTTTTTAAAGTTTTTCGAATTTTTTTGACGTAAATGGGCTAAAATAAGCATTGCTAACATGTTTAAATAAAAATTTAGTGAAGATGTACTAAGAAAATCATAATATTTTTTTTATTTTTGTCAATTTTTCTTTAACTTTTATTTATTTTAGTTATTCCTTTTTAATTTATTTCTATTTTTTTATTAATATTTATGTCAAACTTTTTTTTAATGCGACAATTGTCATTTATGCGTTATTTTTTAAGATTTTTGAAATTTTTGGACATAAAAGGGTTATAATATAATTTATTTTGTAAAGATATTATATTATAAATTCAATGAAGATGTTCCCTGGAAAAATGATAATTATCATAATAGGTAGGTATTTTTAAACATATAAGATTTTTTTGTGACGCTAATGGGCAAAAAGTTGTTTCTTTTAGCTAAATAGGCTAAAGTAAGTATTGCAAACATTTAAATAAAACTTCAGTGAAGATGTTCCCTGAAAAAGTGACAATTGTCATAATCGTTATTTTTAAAGTTTTTACGCAAATGGGCATAAATATAGAATGCTAACATGTTAAATTAAAAATTATGAAGATGTACCCTAAATAAATTCTAATGACAATTGTCATAATCGTTATTTTTATTTTCAATATTTTTAATTTTTTTAGCCTAAATAGGCTAAAATAGGTATTGCAAACATTTAAATAAAACTTCAGTGAAGATGTACCGTAAAAAAGTGACAATTGTCATAATCATTATTTTTAAAGTTTTTTAAATTTTTTGACGCAAATGGGCTAAATATAGATGGGTGGGTCTATTTATCGCTCGGGCTAACCACATAATAAATTATTTATTACTAAATATCGCTCGGCTAGTAAATGTCGCTCGACAAACCACATGATAAATTATTTATTACTAAATATCGCTCGACTGGGAAATATCGCTCGGCTAACCACATAATAAATCATTTATTACTAAATATCGCTCGGCTAGTAAATATCGCTCGATTGGGAAATGTGGCTCGGTTAACCACATAATAAATCATTTATTATTTAAATTACGCTTGGCTAATTACATAATA